GATACTTCTTCATTCTTCATTCTCATGGCATTCCTGAAACCCCGTTCAGCATGTCTCAAGCTTCGGATGGAATCATTAACTTGTGATCTGGAATACAGGAAAGTAGGAAAGCATGTACAAGAAGTAGAATACCACAGCAAGTTAATTCTCATTTACCTTGTTTTATCCAATGTTCCTCCAGGAAGGATAATAGCAAGTTGCTCCAACACAGGAAAGACTCCAGGAAGCTTGTTCAATGGCTGTTACAATAAATATACAGTCCAACCTCTATAAGTCGAACCTCCCTAAGTCGAAAACCTCCCTAAGTCGAATTTTTCCCCAGTCCCCTTCCAATCCCTTTGAAAAGAATGTCTAAAAAACCTCCCTAACTCAAAATAGTTCATGGGAAACCTCCCTAAGTTGAATTTTTTGTACACAGGGAGGAAATTTTTTTTTACTGCAGGCATTTTTTGGTGGGGGAGGAGAGCCGCTTTAATATGATGCAGCATCCTCCCCCATTCATTGAACAAAGAGACACTGTTTCTGATGCCTGGGCACCAGAAACAGTGTCTCTTTATACGAAACTGTGTATGAGTGCATGAACCCCCTGCGCAGTTCCTCCAGTGCAGTCCCCCTGCAAAGTTCTTTCCAGTTCCACAAGAGGAACTGGAATATGGATGAAAAACTGAGTTGAAGTAAGGTACCGTGGACAATTTTCATGTCCTTCTTCAATGACAATTTGATTTTTTTTTTCAAGGAACTTCCAGTTCCTCTTGAGGAACTGGTAGGAGCTGCAAAGGTGGAATGCACTGGAGGAACTGCGCAGGGGGTTCATGCACTCATAAACAGTTTCAGTTCATGCACCCAAAAAAAAGGGTCATCCAACCCCAATCAAGGGTCTGCTGGGAATCCTTTGTCTGGGGCAGGGCCTAGGTTATCACCCAAAGTTGCATGCCAAAAGTTTTTTCCTCATTTCCAGGAAACACTTTCAGCTTGCAAGTTTGCACCCTCTGGAAGTTTTTGCATTTTAGCAATTTTTTTCTTGCAAGTTTGTGAATAGCTGTTTCGCTGGAAGTCAATTCCAATCTGAAAAATGGCCTATCCCCAAAGAAAAGCTTAATTCTAGTGCAAAATGTAATGCAGTTGAACCTTGATAACTCACAAGACTCTATGCTGGGCATTTTTTGTGGCACATCCTATCTAATTTTTCACAAGCAGTGCACAAAATTTCACAATTTTGTGTGTGTACAAAATGTTTATTTTCATGGCAAAAGTTAATTTTTACAAGCTGTTCCCTGTATATTTTCAAGGTACAGACATGAATAATTTTTAAAAAGCTGTGCAATGCAGAATATTCTAATGTTATGCCTGCATGCCATGTTACTTTTCATAGGCACAAACCTTGTGAGATTTTTACAGTCTGCGCCATGTCTATTCTCATGGGCCAGACCTAAGTCATTGCTGTTAAAATTCTACAGCTCTGAATAACTTTGTTGTGTTGTCATCTCTAAACTGTCAGAATAATAAACTTAACGCCTCAATTGCTAGCCAACTGCTTTACTTCTACTCCAACTTTCATCCATATTCCAGTTCCTCTTAAGGAAATCACAGTTTATAAAAGTTCAAAATATTTTTGCAATCTTTTGGAAATGTACTGAAAATTCTTCAAGGGAAATGTAAAAACTCTTGTCTTGATTCATCCAATACATAATGTGCACAAGCATCAATGAATTTGATCCAAACCAGGTTCCACAGCAAAGTGTGGGGAAGAATTTGAGTTATGCATCTGGAACATGGAGTGTTACAGTTTCTGGGCTACAAGTGCTGCACAAATATTAGGGCTGGGAGTGCAGCAGAATTTTGTGGATAATATGCATTTATAATCCTGATGAATTGACCTGATTTCATTCATGGTCAATTCAGCAGAAAAGAAGGTTGGTAACTTTAGGGGTAGCTGCTGACCCCTGTTTTTGAAAAGTGTTGGTCAGCATTCCCGGATGGCTTAATCCTCTTGTGTGGTTTTCTTCCTGGTTGATCTTTTGTACTCTGCACTGTACTCCTGTGGTCCTAGTGAAAGTTAAAGTCCTAAATTCTGGACTAGGTCTTTTTTTTGCACTCCTTCCTGAGGTTGGCATGTCAAAGATTTCTGACATGAGGTTTTTTTTTTTTTGCTGGGCTGGTGAAGTTTATTATTCTGATAGGTTAGAGATGACAACACAACAAAGTTATTCAGAGCTGTAGAATTTTAACAGAGATGACTTAGGTTTTGGCCCATGAGAATAGGCATGGCACAGACTGTAAAAATCTTACAAGGTCTGTGCCTATGAAAAGTAACATGGCATGCAGGCATAACATTAGAATATTCTGCATGGCACAGCTTTTTGAAAATTATTTATGTCTGTACCTTAAAAATATACAGGGAACAGCTTGTAAAAATGAACTTTTGCCATGAAAATAAACATTTTGTACACACACAAAATTGTGAAATTTTGTGCACTGCTTGTGAAAAATTAGATAGGATGTGCCACAAAAAAAGGCCAGCATGGAGTCTTGTGAGTTATCAAGGTTCAACTGCATTACATTTTGCACTAGAATTAAGCCTTTCTTTGGGGATAGGCCATTTTTCAGATTGGAATTGACTTCCAGCAAAACAGCTATTCACAAAATTGCAAGAAAAAAATTGCTAAAATGCAAAAACTTCCAGAGGGTGCAAACTTGCAAGCTCTTTCACAAAGGACCTTTACTCCTCAAAACTTTTGGCATGCAAATTTGGGTGAAAACCTAGGCCCTGCCCCAGACAAAGGACTCCCAGTGGACCCTTGTTTGGGGTTGGATGGCCCTTTTTTGGGTACATGAACTGCAGGATTACCTGCATGCACTAGTCCTTGGTACCCATGAAGTGCAGGATTACCTGCATGCACTCATCTGCAGTATCCTTTTTACTACTGCAGCAATGACCCAATCACAAAAATGGCATCTTTTCAATATATAAAGGAAGGAATCTCTTCCTAACCTTGTTTTGAATTCAATACTGTATATGCTTAAATATATGTAGGGGATCAATATATGCCCTTTTTGAGTGTTATAGGGTCCTAAACGTTTTTTATTCTGTGTTTTACCCTGAACCTCCCTAAGTCAAAACCTTCCTAAGTCGAATTTTTTTCTTGGTCCCTTGAAATTCGACTTAGAAAGGTTCAACTGTAAAAACACATTATTAGAAATTATGTTATGAGGATGTATATGCATTACAGTCGAGGAAACATTAGATACTCACAATTTTCAGGGAATATTGCTCCACTCTGTGTTGTAGATTCAGAGGAAAGCAATCAGTGTTATAGGGTCCTAAACGTTTTTTATTCTGTGTTTTACACTAAACCTCCCTAAGTCGAAACCTCCCTAAGTCGAATTTTTTTCTTGGTCCCTTGAAATTCGACTTAGAGAGGTTCAACTGTATTTGTGTTATGTTGAATGTGCGTCATAAAAAATTTTGGATAAGCGTTTTCCCTCTGTTGCATTTGTTTTTTAAAGATTGTATCGCCTCATTTCCCATTCCAATGACTTCCTCGATTACACCTGTGATTTTGCAGCTTGACCACATTCAACTCACTCGTTTGCTCTAGAACCTTACACATATTTGCGTTGATGCTTTTGCCAATTGCGCCGGCTTTGATGAAATTGCCATTTTAAAAATTGCATTTTAACGCAGCTAGTAGTCGGGAATGATCAATTCAGTTGTGTCCAAGTCTCTTTTTTTTTCGCGTATCGGTGAAGAAAAAAAATCAATTTTTTAAATGCGAAGAATGGTCTTCAACCTGTGTCTCAGGATTCACTGCTAGTACTTCACAGGATTTCGCAATCGCTTAAGAACAGTAAATGGAAATGGAACGAAATAATCTGAAAAATAAAAGGAAATTATTCTGTAAACAGTAATGTTCGCAGAGAATTGGCAAGTACTATACTGTATCACGGATTCTATACAGCACAAAAGCGCTTGAATGACTCAATTTAGAATACTGTATAATTAAATCTGCAATAAATATATCCGTAAAGTGAAGGCAGACAGGATTTTTATCCTGGAAATAAATTTAAAAAAAGTATGCTGTATTCATTCAAGTACCACGCGTCCTCAAGTAAGACAAACACCCAGATTTTTCTATCTGAAATTTTGACGAGACGCGCTCCAAATTTTATTGGCTTTAAAATTAAAACCGAAATATAAAAAAAATTATGACACTTAATTATGAATTTAGACATGATTCAAACCTTAATTCGATTGAATTTCAATTTTTCATAAAATTGGTCAATATTTCTCATGAGCATCAAGTATAAACTTAATTTTCTATTGCATGCCACCTTTGAAGCGCAGCCCCCTTTTTCCTCTCAGTTTTGAGAGGAAAAAAATTGCACTTGGTACTCGAGTACTGCTCATATGGTACAGTATATTCGTAACTTGCAAGGGATGGAGCAGACTTGAGGATCTCGGTACAAGTTGAGTCATTCGAAAAGTGATTTGCGTAAAAAGATAGATACAGGTGAACCCTCTCTACAACGAAATTCAGGGAACCAGAAAATAATTACGTTGCAGTTCACCCGAATGACATCAAAATAAATTTCGTTATGCAAGGGAAAGGGTTGTAGAGAAATAGTCCACCTGCAATATAAAAAAAAGAAAACGCTCTGAGAGTTGCAAAGTTTCAGAAGCTCTTTGCAGAGATTGTGTTGCAGTACGGAGGTCGGTTGGTTGATGAGCTGCATGCTGAGACCCCCGGAATTTTACTCATTTCAAAAGTAATACGCGTTAAAAGAGGGATCTCTTTATAACGAAATTCGGATGACCAGTAAAGAAATGCGTTTTATAGAGAAAATCGTTGTAGACAGAGTTTACCTGTGAGTAAAAAAAAAAGGATCAAAGTTGTTAAGTTCAAGAAGCTCTTTGTAGTTACGGTGTTGCAGTACGGAGGTTGGTTGCAGAGACCCCTCCCGAAACTGCGCACAGAACACAGTTAGGAAAAGATTATACCGACTAGGGGTGATTTGAGACGTCGACTGCTGCCCAATCGGCGCGAAATGAGCCAGTTGTTCCATTGTTTTCCAGCCGTGTCTGCCAGAGGGGGTCTTTTTTTGTCGAATGAGTGATGCCCGGGGAGCGGGGCCGACGAGGGCCGGGTCGGGCCGCGTGCTAGCGTTGAGCTCTGCTGCCTCTTCCCTGCAGAAGGGCCGCGAGATCCCCCCCTCGTGATTGCCGCTACTTCACTGCGCTGGATGCGCGACCCGACCCGAAAAGTGGCCCTGGTCCACTTGATTCTCACTGCACTCCGTGTCGCGTTCGGGCGATGAAAGCCGCCGCGTTGTCCGCGAAATGCTGAGCCGTGCCGGGTGTAGTTGAGTTAGTTGGGGTGTTCGTTCGGGGTGTGCCTCGGGGGGTTTTTCTGTGCTTGATGTGTGATCAGCGGTGAGGAAGCCCGGAAAAGGAAGATGCTACCGTCGGCGGACATCCGGTCCTTGCTGACCAAGGTTCGCCATCGTCTCTATTTTATTTTTGTATAACATCCTCTTTATACCAGCGTATGCGTGTTTATCTCCACGACTTGAACCGTGGACACTTTTTTTTGACAGCCGACATTTTTAGGCAAGATGAAGTGAACTCCGTTTAAAATTACTCTCCGTTCTGCTCGAAAAAATGATGTCCCAATTTTGAACCTATTTGATTTTTCCGTTGACTGCAAACCAGGAATGACTTCGGATAAAAGTTATTTTCTCGAACAGTGTTCACCAACCTTTTTCGGCCCGTGGACTGGCAAATTTCCATAAAATATTTTGCGGCCCGGAAAATTTCCATAAAATTGTTGCAGACCCACAAACATTTTCAAGTACCTGACGTAAAGTCCTCCAACCAAGATTATTATTTTTCTTTAAATTGAGCTAATAATCAATGAAGCAGATTCAGTGGAATGTCTTCAAAAATTTAGATACCTGGGCTTTCAGAAGGGTTTCTCGGAATGAAAACTTGAAATTAATTATTCTGCAGGCAAAATTTGTCCGAAGTGTTATCAGGAGAAACGCCGAATTTTATTTTTCATCAGATATTTTCAGCTGCCATTGTCTTTCAGAAATTTCTGGCAAGGGTAACGGACTTCATTACTACCTTTAATGAATGTATTATGCAGAAAAAATTTTCAGCAGACTCGCAACAAACTTCTGCAGACCGACGCCATTCCGTGGATAAAAAAAATTTCTGTGATTTTTGAGAATGTGATTTCTGTGATTTTCGTAGACGGAATATAATATTTTGATTGAAAATGAGCGAAATCGAAGAGGTTATTCTAAATGCTGTCTCGGTTATTTCATGCTTGCGACCTGGAATGTTCTCACGTATTGAAAATAATGTTACACTGCAGTTCAATACATAATTATTTGTTCCACGTAATTCAACAGCTTAGTCGAAAGTGTATGTTGTGAAAATTATTGAATCCATCAAGGGACTTCATTTTGAACTGCTCGTGAGAGACATAATGTCTGCCTTCTGCTTATAATGTATTTCAAATTTTTTTTTCCGGCTACTGTATGAAACTCTGGGACCCCAGGTTCTGATTAATGAAACTCTGCGACGAAGTTCCCGTCGTGTCCCTGTTTCAGAATCGTGCAAACGTGTGTATTTATTTTATAGTTCAGTACATGATTATTTGTTCCACGTAATTAAACAGCTTAGTCGAAAGTGTATGCTGTGAAAATTATTGAATCCATCAAGGGACTTCATTTTAAAACTGCTCGTGATAGACATGATGGTTTGTCCATCTTCTTCTGCTTATCATGTATTTCAAATTTTTTTTCCGGTCACTTTATGAAACTCAGGGACCCCAGGTTCTGATTCATGAAACTCTGCGACGAAGTACCCGTCGTGTCCCCGTTTCTGAATCGTGCAAACGTGTGTGTATTTATTTTCGATTCTTTTTTGTATTCGCCATATCCTAGGTGCGAGAAATGGAGCATCGTCTGGGCCCGCCGTCATCCGGGTCGACGTTCGGCCGGCACTCTTGGATGGCCGGCGAGCGGACTGATGCCAGGATCGTTTCCAATCACGGCTACGAACCGACAGCCGGCAAGCTGGAATCCTGCGCCCCGCTTTCCAGAGAGCCGGACGTCGATAAGGATAAGATCATCAGCAAATTGCAATCGCAGGTCGAAGAGCAGGTGAGCGATGCTTCAAGCCCCCGTCTTCGTTTCGATGTCCGTGACGACGTTTTTTACGCGTGCAGAACAAGTCAACCCTCGATTTTTTGGCCCCACTATGTAGTGCCGCCCTTTTTTACGAGGGCTGTCCCACATGAGCGCGACCTTGGTTATTTCTGGAGTAGATATGGCCCTAAAAACAATGATGATGTAAGGTTGTGGGATTTTTTTCGGATTTAAGAAAAAGGTTTNTTATTTTCTCGAACAGTGTTCACCAACCTTTTTCGGCCCGTGGACTGGCAAATTTCCATAAAATATTTTGCGGCCCGGAAAATTTCCATAAAATTGTTGCAGACCCACAAACATTTTCAAGTACCTGCCGTAAAGTCCTCCAACCAAGATTATCTTTTTTCTCTTTAAATTGAGCTAATAATCAATGAAGCAGCTTTAGTGGAATGTCTTCAAAAATTTAGATACCTGGGCTTTCTGAAGGGTTTCTCGGAATGGAAACTTGAAATTAATTATTCTGCAGGCAAAAATTTGTCCGAAGTGTTATCAGGAGAAACGCCGAATTTTATTTTTCATCAGATATTTTCAGCTGCCATTCTCTTTCAGAAATTTCAGGCAAAGGTAACAGACTTCATTATTACCTTCAATGAATGTATTATACAAAAAAAAATGTCAGCATACTCGCGAAAAACTTCTGCAGACCGACGCCATTCCGCGGACTACTGGTTGCAGAACAATGTTCTGATATTTTTTCTGTGATTTTTGAGAACGATTCTTTCGTAGACGGAATATAATATTTTGATTGAAAATGAGCGAAATCGAAGAGGTTATTTTAAATGCTGTCTCGGTTATTTTATGCTTGCGACCTGGAATGTTCTCACGTATTGAAAATAATGTTACACTGCAGTTCAGTACATAATTATTTGTTCCACGTAATTCAACAGCTTAGTCGAAAGTGTATGTTGTGAAAATTATTGAATCCATCAAGGGACTTGGATTTTAAACTGCTCGTGATAGACATGATGGTTTGTCCATCTTCTTCTGCTTATAATGTATTTAAAAAAATTTTCCGGTTACTGTGTGAAACTCAGGGACCCCAGGTTCTGATTCATGAAACTCTGCGATGAAGTTCCCGTCGTGTCCCTGTTTCTGAATCGTGCAAACGTGTGTATTTATTTTCGATTCTTTTTTGTATCCGCCATATCCCAGGTGCGAGAAATGGAGCATCGTCTGGGCCCGCCGTCATCCGGGTCGACGTTCGGCCGGCACTCTTGGATGGCCGGCGAGCGGACTGATGCCAGGATCGTTCGGTTAGTGCCGATGCTTGGCTGTCGGCCGTTCGACCTTAGGACGCGGGGCGAAAGGTCTCTCGGCCTGCAGCTATTCCTATTCTAGTAGTCGTTTAACGTTAGCGTCCAGCTTCTCGTCCACTCGCTTGCTTCAAGCCCCCGTCTTCGTTTCGATGTCCGTGACGACGTTTTTTACGCGTGCAGAACAAGTCAACCCTCGATTTTTTGGCCCCACTATGTAGTGCCGCCCTTTTTTACGAGGGCTGTCCCACATGAGCGCGACCTTGGTTATTTCTGGAGTAGATATGGCCCTAAAAACAATGATGATGTAAGGTTGTGGGATTTTTTTCGGATTTAAGAAAAAAGTTTCAATTTTCTGCATGACGATGAGTGAAAACTTTCCAGTTACAGTACTTTCAAAGTTACTAAAAATTGTCAGGCCACCCAAAAAGTGGACATTTTTTTGTTTTAAAACTAGTTTTCTCCGCATTTTAGATTGTGGTTAAAACAATTTCAATTTTTAGAAATAACCAGGGTCGCACTCAAGTGGGACAGTCCTCGTATAGTGCCTCAAATGTATCCTGAACAAGTCAACCTCGATTTTGCTGTCAAGGGAAACCCCATTTTAGTGTCAACTCACTTAGTGTCACAAAAGTGCCTTATCCTGGTTGAAAAATGGGCCGACACCAAGGAAACTGAAGTCTTTTCCAGGGAGAGCATTGTCTTAACTGAGAATCCCATGTCCATGCTCAAATAAAAAATCATGGAAATTTGGAACATTCTATCACTTTTAAAAACACAATGCATTTAAGCTTCAAATTACAGTATTTCTTCTGGCTTCCTCTCGTGTGAAAACATATTCAGTGGGTCAGACAATTCTGTGGACCAGCTTATGTTGCCTACAGTAGAAACCCTCAAGCAAACTTCCTCTCATCAATGCCCCCAAGTTAGTGCCGCACTTGCTTTGTGCCGCAAAATGTGACAGGACGAATGATCGCACCAAATCGAGGCTTGACTGTATTTCCCTATTGTATGGATTGGCTTTGATCGGGATTCAGGCTCTGTGGTAGTTTCCTTCCAGAATCCTTCCTGCTGGCGTGAAACGCATTTTTATGTTCAAATTATCTTTGATTACTCTGGAAATTGTGGTACTGATCATGCGCCGTATGTATGGACTCTTGGCTTTCTGAGCACCGTGTCTTTTTACACCTTGAATGGTCAGCTTGCTTCTTCCTGATTCCTTTGTAATTAAAATTAAGGCTGCCCTTGGGTTTGATTTATTCATTCAATGCGACGAGGTATATATTCCAGTCTCGTCTGCTGTGCTGAAAGTTGATACAGAAAAGGCTTGTGTCAATTCTTGGGTTGTGATCGCGAACGATTCACGCATGACTTCTTGTGGAGATCAGAAAACTTCAACATATTTTTGATAGTCTGAAATCTCAAGTTTGCTTCGAAGCTATGATTAAATTGATGTTATTTTCGAAGCAAAACGAAAGCAGGAATTTCGTGAGCTTGTCGCAGCAACAGAAGCTCGATTACCCACGCTTTTGAGTTTTTTTGGAAAAAGACATAGGTATTATTTGAATGCACGACGTCGACATTTTGTATGTTTGAAATAGCATGCACCAGTTCCCAAGCCAGATTTTTGTACCTTCTAAGATCAAGTTGAATTATCGAACCGACCAAAATATTCGTTATCGGCAACAGTTCGTGGTGAAAACCCTTTTACGTTCGCTGTAGGAACTCGGGAGGATTAGCATAAATCTGCCCTTGTATTGAATTATTCAACGCTTCGTGATCAATACTCCCGTGATTTACGGGGATAGTAAAAAAAGGGGTGGAAACGGTTTTGCATGTCTTTCCTGTGGTGATTTTTGTAGCCTTCTCGAGAAAATGTTCATGTCAGAGTTGATATCATCGAAGCACCCGAGTGTGCTTGATTGTATGCAGATTTCGTTCAGACTTTCATGCAGATTTCCCTTGTCACGTCTGCTCCCGTTATGTCGGATTTGAAAGGGCAGGTTCCTGAATAATATGGACATGTCTGACTCGCTTCATTTTTGTTTCTTAGCGGCTCCTGAGACTACAAGACGCGAAGCAGGTAGAGGCCAAGGCTGCTCGTATCAAGGAATGGGTTACCAACAAGCTCAAAGACGTGAGTCCTTCTCGTTGAAAATGTTCATTTTGTATCGCACGATTTCCGCATCAAGATCGTATCAATCGGACATTCCCTGGATGTGCCTCTTCGAGCGACATTGCAGTTGATGAGTTTCCGATTTTCTGTACGAATAGAGATACAGTACTTCAAGCTTGTCGAAGAAGCACAAGAATTCTCCCGTTCCTTGTGGAGTTGATATTTGAGTTACTTGTGCCAAAGCTCTTCGGCATTAACAGAACCCGATATAAAAATGGATGATGAAGATGCAGTGCAACGAACAGAACGCAGGCAATCGGCCTGTTTGTGGCCAAGAACCTACGTATATTCAAGGGGACTTCTTGCATATGTGTTCCTATTTTTCAGAACAATTTGTTGCGTAATTTGATGGCGAATAAATGACACAATTCACAAGGTACACTTAAAACACTACGCAAGTGAATAAAGCTAATTTTTGCGCAAATCCAAGTCCTAAACACAGACACGAAATATATAAAGATCAAGGACGAATAAAATGGAAGTAATGCTCCCTCACAAGTCAATTACGATTGTGTCATTTGTGTGAAGTCTACTTATGCATCAAAACAGAGTTTGAGAGGGGAAACAAAACTGCACTGGGTTCTTCTCGGTGCCCCCTCTCCACAACACAACCTCCAAGATATATACAGTACAGTATAAAACCATATACAGTACTGTACCAGTAGCCTACTTTTTGAAATGCTGTACTTTTTCTACAATTGGACTCTCTCCACAGCGATTTTCTCGTAGATATTGAATGAGCTCCAAGATAATGAAATGAAGTATAAATCAAGATACCAGTAGCCTAATTATTCAAATACTGTATTTTTTTCTACAGGTGGATCCCCTCCACAACGATTTTCTCTGTACCATGAATTTTTTTTTCCTATAGATATAGGAGATCTCTACAATCAATTTTTTTCTGGTCCCAGCAAGTTTTTTGAATGAGGGATTCTGTATCAGAGGATTATTAGTGCACTGTTTTCCTTTTCCTTCTTCTAAGAATCCAATCAATCCCGATGATACTCGTATTCCGCTGTGTCTGACGCTCCTCTTTCTCGTGTTCTTCATTTGTTTTAGCTCGAAGAGCAGAATGCGCAGCTCCGATTGCAGAATGAGAAATGTAACGAGCAGCTGTCGATGTTGCGGGGGAAGTTGTGCAATTTTTCTACGATGCAATCGCAGGCCAGTCAAGGAATCCGGGAACGGGTATCCACGGAGGTTCGTGTCACTGTCTGAACGTTCCCTCAGAAAGTTGTGGCTATTTTCGTTTTACTGATGATTTTGTCCCTTTCAGGATTCCTCTCGCGGGAGTTACGAAGGCAGTCGACCAGAAAGCGATGAAAGCGGAGCCGTGTGCGTTCTTTCCAAACATCCTCAACCCGAGCCGAAATCTACGGCAGGTCCAGTTTACGCTGAGGTGGATTATCAAAAGAAGAGCGGAGCCGCTGGACAACGACGTGCTGGCCCACCGAAAGTACTTCTCGAGCGGAAGAAGTTCACGGATGGCGGAACAGTCAAGTTGAATGCGCAACGGGGGTCGTCGACGGGGTCTTCTCCGAGCGACGATCTGGCCGACAAGAGCCGGGGAAGTTCGGAAAGCTTTAGTTTGTCCAATGCCGGTGAAAACAAGTCTGGGGAATCGAAGGTGGACTCGAATTCCCTGGATATTGAAACCCCGACGAGCCTGAGTCCCAGAAGTCCGCATTACTCTGCTCCGAACGCTGTACCGTATCCGTCGATTTCTTCCGACACTGAAGACCTCGTTGCTCAAGGGTTGCAGCAGTGCGAAGAGGCCCTGAGGAGTTTGTCGAACGGAACGCTTGGAGAGTCGTTGTATCATGTTCCTCCGCTCGACAGAGATTCCATTGCGTCCACGTCTGCCGCCCGGAAACCCCCAGCTACACCTACCCCGCCTGTACCGAAGCCTCGTGTTCGCCCAGCGGACGAATGGCACGATTACGCGGAGATCTACACGCCGAGTGGAGAAAAAGTTCCTCCGTGGATGGCCAAGACGAATGGGGATATATCCGGAAAACCGCCGACCCCGCCGCTGCATCGGTGTCCTTCGTGGGAATCGCGGATTTATCGTGTGGCGACGTCGAATGAGGGATTCACGCTTACTGGCGATGGCACGACGCCATCGCCGACGCCGTCGCGATCACCGTCCGTTCCGGTGCCGCCTACGTTGGGCGTGGCGGCACCGATTAGTGTTCGGCTGTCTTGCGACGTGCCGCCGACGCCGAGCAAGACTAAACCCAACTTGGCACTCGGGCGTCGAGACGATGGCTACTGTCCGCTGCAAATTCCCGTATTTGCGACCGTCAAAGGAGTGAGTAAAATGCTCCTTATCGATTTAAATTACGGGTTTGACTTTTTTTGAGGATGCGTGGAAAGCATAGCCGGCTATGATAGCTGAAGTTGGGTTTTATAGTGTAATGTACTCGAGTTTTCTTTTTTTTCGACGTGGTGTATACAATCGAATCTCGACCTCCGGAAGTCGAATTTTTCAAGGCCCGATCTGAATTCCTTTGAAAACTATGCATTAAACACCTCCTTCACTCGAAGACTTTCGTTCTGAAACTTTCATGACTCGAATTCTCTGGACGCCTTTTGGCCATCATTTTATTGACAAAGCTGAGAGAAATGCAATAAAATATAATTTGGATGCGTTTTTAAAGGAATCGAGTGACTAATTGGGCAAATGAACTCTTGCTTTCAAGTTCAGCATCCTGTCAACTCATTTAGGAGGCAGTTTGAGGCCCAGAATACCACCGATTATAATTTCCTGTAATTCTTCTTTCCGTCTTCCAACAAAAGAGCTAGTTTCTCTCACTCGAAACCTCTTTAACTCCAATTTTTCTTTGGTCCCTTGGAGTTTGACTTGAAGCGGTTCAACAGTATTCTTCTCAATTTAATTTTTGCGTGTCCAAACTTTTGAAGGGTCCGGTTAAAGGTGAAAATGATAAGTGCAGCAGTGTACTAAATCTTGATATAAAAGTCATGCCCTTCACATCAAACGGTTGCGTGAGGCTTTACTTCTTTGAAAACATCAGTCGAAACTTTTTTTCTCCACAGTAACTGTTCGAACGACTCCTTTATTTTTACCGTTGACAGTATTTGGTAACTTGCAGTTCCTCGATCGTGGTAAAATCTTTTTTCTTTTCTTAACCTGGTAGAGAATGAGCATTATTTATTTCAAATCTGAATCTGAAAAATCTCTTCAACAATGATGCCCAGAATCGCCTCTGACACTTTCCTCGCGTATTAGCTTTTTACCGACTTCATAAGCGTGCAGGGGTTCTTCGATTTTCGGCATTAGTTCTGATCGATTTTTAAACTTTTTTGCGTAATTCAGAAATGACCTTAATTTGAAATACTGTATTACGCTTTAATTTTTTTTAGATTAAATTATTCACCTTTTGTTTCCCGGAATACGAAAATGAAAACGAGATGCGTTTGGCTTTAATGACTTTCTTTCTCTTTGTTGTAGCGAGCTTCCCAAATCCGAACGATGCCTTTCAGCGGCGACGATTCGGAGTCGGATTCATCTGAAGACGGTGACGACGATGGGTCAGCCTACGCCGGTGGATCCGAAAAACTGGGTGTGCCTTCGTTGACTGGCTCTGCGGGTTCCGGGTCTGGATCTGGTTCCGGTTCCCTGACGGGCTCGTCTTTCTCTCCGTCGAAGCCGCCCTCTTCTATTCAGCAGCGCGCATCACCCGTTTCCTTCTCCCCGTCGCACGCGGGTACTTCCCGGCTTAATAGACGAGGTTTGTAATCCTGCTCTCTGCCCCGATTTTATTCTGCTGAAGTGGATATCCGTGTCGTGGAGGATTCTGTGATTTGCCAGCAGGATTACACTTTCCTCGCGTATTAGCACTCATCCTAAGCTCATGTGTTACCTGTGTATCTTTTTCGAAAGCATGCGCTTCTTGCATTGAAAAATCGTTCTCTGCTGAATATGAGGTACTGTATAATTTAAGAATTTTTGGTGTTTTTGTAATCATGTTTGTATCAATTGAAGCGGGGTTGCGTCTCCTCGTTGAGCATGATAGAAATTTACTTCAATGCCACGCGCACCATTTGTTTTGCTGACAAAATGCAGTATAAGTAAAAATGCCACATGTATTTTTTCGAGTTTGGCGTGTGCTCTTGTTATGTCAAATTATGTTGTTGAACGTTGCGCATGGTATTCCAATCGTTCCTTTACTCAAAATTAACCAAAAAATATATCTTTGAATCCCATGGACATTTGTGCTGCATTATTACGCGCACATAATTTTTTTCGAGTCGAACGTTTCTAGAGATTTGAACGTATAGTGAATGACTAATTTCTTGAATGCCTCGATTTTATTTTTTTTCACAAATTCATCACCAGTCAGATTTTTTTAATGCAAGGAAATCGTTAGTATTCTACAGAGGAACTCGTTTTATGGATTGATTTACACTACTGTATTGTACCTCGTGGGATTGTGCGTGGGCTCAAGTGTCGTTTTCGTTGATCAATTTGGAAATCATGTTCTTGTACGCTAATTGTGTTGGATTTCTTCCTTCATGGAGAGAAGTTGTTAACATCCCAGTCGAAGCGGGGCCTCTTCGCATTTTTTTGCGTTGAACATAAGGACCAAAATTTGACAGTGTGTGTCATGCCATGTGGCTGTTTTGCTTTGCAGAGAATTCGGTTGAGTCAGGCCTTTCTGATGACTATGCCCTTCCTCCGGATGCGTATTTCGACTCTGGTCCATTGTCCGTGGAAAGCGCTCGTCGGAATTCCGCGGTTGAAATGACCCCGCGGAAAACAAGCCAGTATGCTGGCATAATGGAGAAAGCCGGTCCTCTGACTAAACTCTCTGGAAAGCTGAGAACGTGGAACAAGCGCTGGTTCGTCCTGAAAAAGGAAGGCGTGCTTTCCTACTGGAAGTCCCAGGTGAGTTACGAACCCCCGGAAGACGAAGCTTTCCGAGAGAGAAACTCTGATAACGTTTCTGTTATGCTTCCCCAGAGTGACTTGAATAAGAAGCCTCAGGGAGTGATAGTGCTGGATGAGAACTGCCGCGTGAATCGGGCCGAAGGTGCGTCTACTTTCGAGATAGTCACTGGCAAGAAAACTTACTACTTGACTGCGGATTCGACCGCTACGATGGAAGAATGGGTGCGGATCCTGCAGAACGTGATGAGGAAGAACTCGGCGAAAATCCTCATGAGCCGAGAGGAGTACAAACCTGTGGTCCAGGGCTGGCTCACCAAAGTTAAACACGGACATTCGAAACGTTGCTGGTGCTCAATCGCGGGCAAAAATTTCCTCTACTTCCGTTCGCCGTCTGACATGGTTGGCACATTTCCGTTGATCACAAGCTCTCCGTTGAAGTCATTTTTGTCTTTCCCGATTTCTTTTGCCTGTGTTCGCGTAATTTATCGTCATGTTTTGGAAATTATTTAAGTGTAGAGTCTATTCTCATCTAGATGTTTAATGTAGGTTTCCTGTCGAAATTTTGAGAGAAAAAAACGAATAATAGTCAAAACTTAGGTTGTCATTGTTCGAGAAGCTCAAGTACTGTACTTCGTAGAAGTTGAGGTGGGGTCATTCGAAGTGGAGTTTGCCTTGAAAAAATCATAAGTACGATCTGGTTCCGCTAATTGCTGAGACGTTCATTTAGGTATGGTTCGTTTTTGCTTCAAGTTTTCTTTAATTTAGAGCGTGTTTACCTCCGTTGAAATCATACCCGAAGTATGATTCAAATCTAAATGCCTCGACTGCTTTTCAGTGGTATTCGGTTGGGTTTGCTATTTTCGATTCGCGAATCTCGCTTCAGGAATAATTTCTTTGGCCGATTTCTTGAGAAAAAGTTTCTTGGGTCTTCAATCGTTCACAAAATTGACCTGTTATTCTTTGCCAATGTCTTTTGGCCCCCCCTCGTGAATATATGACACACCCTCGATGCGCGAATATGGTTTCTTCCTAATTTTGTTTCTGATGATTCAATTTAATTTTACATTTTTATTGTATTTTATTTTCGTTGTACTCGGGGGAAATTCGGTTGAAAATCGGTTTAATTTTGCTTAGAATGTGGAGGTGATCCATTGCCCGATTGTGCTTTGAGAATCATCAACTCAGTTCAAAAATTATAACTGTTTTTTCTTGCTCATTTGCAGACACCTTTGGGGCATTTTAATTTGCGGGAAGCTCGGATTCAGGATATAGATCAAACATCTGATTCGTCAGAGGAGAACGAAGGGCCAGAGATGGACGGAGACAACGGGAAACTGACGATTTCTGTGTCGCCGCCTCACCAGGGTACAACGTATCTTCTGTTTCCGACTAAAGCCGAAAAGGTAGGTCGACCTTTTTCTATGTAGTTGAACCTCAACTTACTTGTCAAAAAATTGGGTTACGGAAACGAGCACTTCTGTTGAGGAGAATGGAGAGAGAATGAAGAAGGCTTACAGGAAACGGTGATTGGTGATAAACTCTGGGCCTTTATTTGCTTCTTATATGAGGTGACAGGATGCTGAACTTGGAGGATTCATTTGCCCGAATAGTCTTTCCTTTCCTGCGTCAATGAAATGAGAAAAAAGGGCTCTAGAAAATTCGAGTTATGCTGAGATTCGAGGGTAAAGCCTTCGAGTTAGGGAGGCTTTTAATGCATTGTTTCTAAGGGAATCAAGACAGGGACTTGAAAAAATTTGATGTATGAAGGTATTTTACCAAGGGAGATTCGAGTTATCGAGGTTCAACCGTAGGACACTTTTTATGATCCGTGTGCTTGTTTTGTGCAGGATCAATGGCTGTATCACATGACCGTTCTCAGCGGAACATCGGGCGTCGCTGGAACTCAGTTCGAACAGCTCGTGCAGAAACTCATGGATGTCGATGGTGATCTCAGTGAGTTTTCAAGAATATCTCCTGAGGCATTCAAATTGCTGAGCTTATTCAGTTTACGTTTATCATCCTGTGCATGTTCATCAGTATATTTTCCAGTTTTACGTGCTTCCTTGATTCGATTAACGTACCGTCCCAAATTCGATCCACTTCCTTATTCCTGACAGAAATTTAATCAGGAAGGAATTTCACGTATTGTACGTGAAGCGGGATTTTGTGAACCAATATTATCACTGTTCTCGTGATGAGAAATTACGAAGGATCCGCTTTTTTTTTTCTGCGAATCTGTCGCAAAACTCTGCCCAGAATGCCGTCATGTCCCACAGAATCCGTCATGAATGAGACCGAGATTCTAGACGCAGTGCTGCCCGACTCAGATTGGGTTGCGGGCCACGTTGAAAAAGGCAGAGATTTCGCGTGCCACAAGGGAAAATTATAGCTTGTTGATAAAAAAAAGATCCTTGGTGTAGGGTTTAGAACAGTGGTGCCAATGATACGGCCCGCAGGCCAGATCTGGCCCATGGAGCAGCCCTGATTCTAATTGTACTGTATTTCAGAATTTTTTCTGATTGGTGGCTGCTACCATCGTATAAAGTACAACCTTAAGCTGTGGAATTGTTTTAATAAGGCAGGAATTGCTTCATCTGAACACCATTTAGATTTACAGTATGTTTATACTGTAATATAAGATAGATTCAGATTATTGGTTAGCAAAAGCTTAAAGTTGCGTAATCTTTTTTCAGTTTTTGTATGGAATGGCCAGAGTGATCAACTCGAAGCGACTGGATCTGGAAATATTATGAATTGATCATAATTTTGAAAAATTATATGGTTTGTACAGTATTGTGATGATATTTCAAGGTAAGCAGGAAAAAACACTGCAAAAATATACATTTCATTTTTGCGGAATTTCTGAAGAAAAAAAAACAGTTTGTTAGAGTGAATGTCAGTGGCCAGACAGGACTGCTCCACGGGCCGGATCCGGCCGGCGGACCGTATCGTGGGCACCCCTATTCCAGAGGGTTTTCTGTAGTGATCAGAAATAGCGTTCTGAGTGGTGCATTTCGCGAAATGTCTTCCCACGCAATCGGCAGATTTCATTAATACTGTACGTGTATGTCGTGTGTATTTTTAGATGATTCCCTTTGGAGACACCCGATGCTTCTGTACAGTAAGGAACCCATCACGTCCCCGTTGACGACTCTGTCGACCGAAATGTTGCAGAATGAAGCTGTTAAATTATTCAAGGTAAGAAAATTCCGCAAAATCCGTCAAACATGTGTTAAAACGTTTGTCCATTTTTCAGTCATGCCAGTTGTTCATGTCGGTGCCGGTTGATAGTGCTGGCATTGACTATCACGTCGTATTGGCGCAGAACGCCCTACAGCTATGTCTGGATTATCCAGAACTGCAGAATGAGTTCATATGTGGATTGGCAAAGCAAACAGCTCGACACCACACGCCGAAATTCTCCGCGACGCTGGCGACGAGTCAAGTAAACAAGACTTTGAGCAAATTCAAGAACTCTCGGGTAAGTGTTGAATTGACATTGGAAATGAAAATTTATAAAAACGTTAGTTAGAGTCGTTGATCGGCTATAGAAGCTCTTCACCAATCGCTCCAAGAATTTCCTTGTGGATTGTTAATGCCTTTGAATTTTAATTATCTTTTTCTATGATTGATTCCTGAATTCTAATAATATTTTTTTTCCTTTGAATCGTGAACAGGATTCCAATGCTAGTCTGTCCTATGCGACAGTTGATAGCAAGGCGAACCCTCCGTCATTCGTGTATATTCAAGGCTGGCAGCTTTTCTCCCTTGCCGTGTCATTATTTCTGCCGAAGAATAGCAAACTGTTGTGGTACTTGAAGTCGCATCTAAGTCGAAACGCCGAGAACAAGTGAGTATTTGACTGATTTTATTTTTCGGAAACTTAACGTGAATCTCTCTACTCTAATCCCCGTCTCCCCTCTAAAATGCAATCCGGAGCTATTTAGAACATGAGAGCTCACGGAATTTTTTTAGGGGTAGATCTGTGCAATTAAATCAAAGATGATGTTTGTATTCGTCGTCATTGTCTTCAAGCAATGTGCAACAGAAAAATTCCTGTTCGGGATCAATCGTGAGAGACGGAAAATTTTCTTCCGAAGAATATACAGTACCTCGCTTGTCTATTCAATAATACTGTGCAGTCGAGCCTCTTCAAATCTAACTTCGAGGGACCAGTAAAAAAAATATCGAGTGAAGGAGGTTTCAAGTGATGGAAGCAAGCATTTTATGTTGGTGGAGGGAAAAGAAGAATTGCAGGAAATTTAAATTGGTGATATTGTGGTCCTTGAATTGCTTCCTAGATGAGTTAACAGGATGCTGGACTTGGAGGAAAGGGTTCGTTTGCTCTACTAGTATTTCAATTCCTTTCAAAACACATCGTCACATTTTTATCGCTTTATCTCTTTCCCGTGTCCATAAAATGATAGCCAGAAGGCCTCCAGATAATTCGAGTTATGGAGGTTGGAGGGGGAAAGCCTTTGAGATTAGGAGGGTTTTAATGCATTGTCCATGAGGGAATTCAGTCAAGGACTTGGAAATGATCCGACGTAGATGGGTTCAAAAGTGAATGGGGCTCGGAAAAATATCAGCCGGAAATATCGGTAATTATCTGTGGACAGCGATAGATTTGAATGATTAAGATGAGCGTGGGAGAGACGCACGTTAGCATTCGTAAAATTCGGTACCGATTTCCGATAGGAGTTCGTGATTTTTCTTGAGTTTGGGAAGCATAAGTTGTTTTTGATCGGTCAGTGAGATAATTACTAATGAAGCGGGAGTGATTCGAGTGATCTCGTCTACAGTCGGATCTCGCTATGTTCTTTTTTGAATGGTCAAATTACCCTCTGAATTAAACCAAATTCGACTCAGGGAGGTTCGAGGTGTAACTGTACCTAGTTTATGAATATACCGGATGAGCGATTGATCCAGTAATTTTCGAATCTCACGCCATGTATGTGTACAGGTACTGTATTGGGAAATGTAGACCTTCTCATTTCTGTATTTTTTTTTTGTGTGCTCTACGTTTCATTTCCTCAGGAGTGAAATCGGGAAATACGCTTGCTATTGTCAACGAGCGCTGGAAAGAACTGCGGCGAACGGACCTCGTGAAAGCAAGCCTTCGAGAATGGAGACGCTCTCTATTCTGCTCAAAAACCCGTACCACCATTCGTTGCCCCACTCCATTCCTGTTCACTTAGCTAACGGATCCTATCAGGTTTGTCGCTAATTGGAGAGTTGATCCGAGCGGATTTTGTGATGCCTTGTGTTTCTTATTCCTTGTCTAACCTAGGTTGTTGGATTCGACGGATCGACGACAGTCGAAGAGTTTCTCATCAGGCTTTGTGCCGAAATCGGCATCCGAGACCCGATACATTCCGGATTTGCTTTATATTCAGACGATCCGTTGGAAAAGGATCTTCAGCATCACCTCCTCGCCTCTGCAAAGGTTATTTTCCTCCCGAGACGTTATTTCGTCTCATATCTGCTGCCGTCAATTTTTGCATGTTATGTAATCATGCAAATCTTAACTGAATCATTACGGGTTGGCTGTCGTAATTGCATCTGCTAGGTATTGAGTTCTCATATTTTTCAGTTTTCAAAAAATACAGCACGATCAAGCAACATTACTCTATTGTGGGACTGAGGGGAGTTAGTAGTGAGCCGGTCAAGTCCACCAGGGAACAGAAGAAATAGATAGGAGACTTACTCAGGCAGTTCCTAGTTTTTCTCACAATTGCGTTTTAAAAAATGAATAGGAGACTTACGCTGGAAAGGAAAAGTCGTGAAGGAAGTTGCCATTACTGAAGAGATTATTTTCCATACCTTCTTTTTTCCCGTCAGTTTTTCCCCGTTAGTTGAAAAGAAGTGGAAAATTCGTGAAACGAATTTCCGGTAGAGTTCATTAATTTATTTACACGTTCAATGAAGGTTCATTCATTTGATCGAGTTGTGACTTTCTGAGGTTTTGATCATTTCTATTTTGCGAGAATGACGGATTGAACCCCTGCAGTTAAATGCCTTTCGAAGCAATGTGCATTACTTGAACACGATTCTGAACTACCCGATTTCTCAGTTCCTTGGGCTCACGTGAACAATCACAGATAATTATAGAGAACCGATTGGGTCATTATCTTTCCAATTCCACGGTGCTATTCATTTGAACAAAAGATATTGCTAACTGTTCGTGACGAGTTCATAATCGGGATAACAAATGAATTCAACTGTTCCCAGTTAAATCTTTGAAAGGTATTTTTTCCCTTGATACAAGAACTTTTAATGTATTTGCCTTTGAAGACATTTAATTGTACTCTGCATGATAAACTGTGGTTAATTTCAAGAAAATTTGGTTCAATTTTGTATCATCTAGGTCAATGGGAAAATTACCAAACTTATTTGAGTAAAAGTGTGAATAAGAGCCGTTATCCACGAAAAAGATTTCTGACCGATGAAGCCGTAAGATTAGCGCACCTTTGAAGGATCAATGAATTCTGAGACAAATGCATTTGTGAAAATATTTCAATTTTTTCCTTTGTTAAGCATGATTAAGCATCCCCAGGAAATTTGAGCAGGGAATCTTTGAGTAAATTATGTACTGTAGCTAACAGTTTTCCTCCCCTTGAACACTAAATTAAATGACGGAGTACCTTGTATGGATAATCCATTCGAGCCAGAAAACCGATGCATTTCCATATACAGTACTGTACTGCATATAGAATTACTGTACAGCACGTAACTGACAGTTATCGTGTTATTGAGTTGGCACCTGCGTTCAGTCGATGAAGTCAATCATGAATCAGATTTGGATCAAGTACGCCTCCTTTCTCCAGCTCTGCCAATAAAAGTAGCGTATCAAATGAAGAAATGACGGAAAACATTTTTTAAATATAATTTACGGGATATGCATAATAATCTTGTGATGCGTTAAATTTGTTTCTCGGTTATTCAAAATTTCTGGCATTGGTCATAAGAAATTATAAAAAATGGAAAATCCACTTCGAGAATAGTTTACGTCAGTAGCCTGCGAACCGTGGTCTGCGGAAGTTTTTTTGACCAGTCCATTGGAAATGTTCTTCAACATAATACGTTTATCAAAGGTAGTAATGAGATCTGTTATCTTCATGTGGAATTCGGAAAGACGATAGCAGTTTTGATTACGTGCTGAAAAATAAAAGATGGTTTTTTTTCTATCATTCTTCTGACACATAGAGTCACCTGCTGAAATGAATTATTCAAGTACAGTATTTATCCTGAGAAACTTTGTTGAAGCCCAGCTTTCTAATTTTTTGGATACATTCCACTACAGCTGTTTTATTGGTTCTTAATTTAATTTTTGCAATATCAATGTTGGTTGGAGGACTTCTTGGCAGGTATTTAAGAAGTGTTATGTAAATTTTCCTGTCCGTGGGTCCAGAAAGGTCGGGGAACACTCGTTTACGTGACTGATGAATACACCCATCATCCTCGTTCTAGAAGTCCATGTGTGACATTTGAAAACAATCTGGTGCAGGGAAGGATTGTTATCGAACCTTTCTTTTTATTCCGTTTCAGATCTGTGATCTAATTTCACGCTGGGAAACCTGCTTGAGGGAGAAGGGTTCCGGAAAATTCGAAACCACCCGAGCCATTAGATTGCACCTCAAGCACAGACTCACCTGGGCATCAGAAACAAAAACCGAGACGGAGCGGGAGCGACTCTTGATATGCTATCAAGTCAACGAGCAAATCAAGCACGGACTGTTCCCGGTATCCAAAAACTTGGCACTGGAGTTAACCGCTCTTCTGGCTCAGGTAAGCCCGCGATTGAAAACCTTTTTTCGTTCCGCGTGTATTCAGTGTTTCCTCTGATCGCTTCAGATGGAGTGCGGTGATTGCGACGGCGAAAGAAATCGTGGGAGCGGGCTCGCGCCGAATAAGGTGTTGGAGAAGTTTTTCCCGATACGATACCGTGAGGGATTATCTGTCGAGCAAATCAAGTATGCTTCTGTTCCAGCACGATTTTTTTTGTTTCCTCTGATCAATAGGTTAGTTATGACCGTGTTCCTCTTTGTCCCGTAGATTACTTTTTGAGGACGTGATCAAACGATGGAGAGGCTTGCGAGGTCACGGGTCAATCGAATGCATGCGGGCGTATCTCAACTGTGTGCGGAAATGGCCGTTCTTCGGTCATGGGATTTTCTTGGCAGAGGTAACGTGTTAAATTTTGCATGAAGTTATTTAAGATTCCGTTCATGCGTCCAGCGTATTCGTCTCCCATCATTTGACTGGTTTTCCATGAAATTCTTCCGTGAGAATGAAGATAAAGTGGTGCGCCGAGATGCGGACGGACTTTTTGCTTGGACCTTGTCGCTAAGTTGGAACGTCCGCATATCGGATCCCGTCTTTCATTGGACTTTAGTCGGAATATATTCAATTTGTTTTCTTGTTCATCAAAAGAATTACGAGAAAACCCCCTATAAATGCAATAATTTGTTTTCCTCAGCTTCGAGTCACACAAAATAAGTGCGCTTATGAAGTAAACTGTGCACGAACCAATGCTTCTTCTCGTTATTAAAAGTGTGCATCGTTGAATTCGCAGGTGAAGGGATACGAACAGATGGCTCTGTGGATTGCAGTGGGCGAGACTGGAATTTTCCTGTTGGATTTCGTCACTCTGAAACTCATGGTGTCCTATGAATTCTCAAACGTGGTCACTTTCGGTGGCTGTGAAGACGATTTTATGCTAGTCGTCGAATCTGAATCGTTTCATCAGATCGCTGTCGATGGCTCCATGCAAACCCGGAAGCTCTTATTCAGCATGTCTAAGCCAAAGGTAAGGTTTCTTTTACGCGAAAAGCGGGAGTATACCCGTCAGTTATTCGACTCGGTTCCTTTTTTTTTTTTTGTGCAGATTCTGGAACTGACGCTGTTGATAGCAGATTACATGAACGCCGGTGGTCATGTTTCTTCATCTTCCAATACCGGTACTCTAACCCGACACGGGTCTGGACGCATGTCCCGACGCAGTGCTGTTCCTCCGACTCCGAAGCATTGCTCACAGATCAGTGGAGTGTCCATTGATCACGACGCTGGGATGAAAGCAGCTGCCAACCGCATATAAAGGCACTCGTCAAGTGGCCCTCCACCGAAGTGCATTCGCCCTTACGTTTGCTGTTTTTTTGATCTTAGTACGTCGCTCTGTGGCTCATTGCGCGGCACTATTCACGTTGCCGTGTCGTGCCTTGCGATGAGGCAATCTGGATGCTTATTCTGGTGGCCGAATGCGTGACAAGGAAACGGCGAAGTGATCACCGTCAAAGCTGTGATACGTGTATTGATGAAATGTTAGATGCTCTTCCTTATCTTTGCTCTCCGATGCGGTGGTCTGTCTTTGAGACACGCGGAACAGTATCTGTTTGGTGACTCAGTGAGACGGAAGGTGGACACGGTGAAGCCAGTGTGGCTAAATCGAGTGCCGGCCCGTTTCGATGCCTTGTGCTACTAGCTCTGGACTGTGTTGTCTCGATTGTAGGAGGTGAAAGGCACGGATTCAGTAAGTGGTGCCAATCGGCTAACGTTTCAGCTCAGGATGAAAATGGTCAAATTCTTCTACACGTAGAAATGAATTGGCATTGTTTCAGTCAGTTGAGGATTGCCCAGAAATCGCATCAACAGAGAAGTTGCGATTATCGTTTTCCAGCTGACCGGCCCTGGTTCGTTAAGAGATTCTTTTACCACCTCGTCTCACGGTTGGACATTTTTCTAGGTGTTTTTTTTTTCTTTTGAAGAATTCGTTTGCGCTGAGGTGTTTTTTTTCTCTCTAAAACTGGTATTAATTTGCGTCTTAGTTCAAAGTGAGTTTCATCGAGCGAGTCTGATGATTTACCCACGCGTTTCGTTCTGTTCAAACGAGGTATTTTTTTTTTCGTGTGGCTGATGGAAAGCCATGTCACAGTGCCACGGAGATCACGTAATCTCGTCGATTATTACACAGTATTTATTTTCGGATATGTTTTGTCATACACGTTGTGCTGGCAAGTAGATGTTGCAAGAACGGAATTTCTGCGGCAACTTTTCGAGACTCTCGATGCAGAATCATCTTTCTATGACGCACTTTTCGGCGCACGTTCCTTCAGTGATCGTGTTCAGCTAATTTATTTTAGAAGTCTTCCCGTGATCTGAGGAAGCTTTTACTGCAGTGTTTGGCGTCAAATCGATAACGTCTTGGAGAGCTTCCCGCACAACTTTTTATGGCATGCGGATTTTCCGTGTTCGTTTCGCGGGCGGTTTATCACTTTGTGTAAGGATTTAGGATCTGCTTTTGAATCGTTCTGGATCTGCTTGTGTGAGGAAACGTAAGATCTACTGCAGACGCTGTACTCCGGTCAAACCAGGGTTTCAATTTTTATTTTAAAGGAATGTGGTGTATAAAATCAGACCAGTGCGTGAAATTACGACAGCGTGGTGAGAACTTTGATGAACGTAATGAAAGCCATAATTGCATGCATGCGTGCTTTGATTCTTCTGCCACGCGTCTCGCACATTTCAAATGCTTCTGAAGATCACTATTGAAAGTTTCCTCATTTTTGTCGAATGTTTCGAGAGTGATCAGAAATGAATGATCGGACTTCAACGTGAACAGGACACTCAAATCAAGTCTCGTGAAACACAGGTGGCCTCAGGGTGGAAATCACTTCTTTCCAAAAGAGACAAGTTTTATCATGCGAATTTTTATGGGCTACCTTCAATTTCGAAGGTAAGTGAAGCTTTATTAGCTGTGCCCCAATTTCGATACATTTTAAGACTGATTGATGTAAACTTGCAAATTCCTTTCATCTCTAGATACTGTATATTGATGCTCCCTATTTATTGAGACCATATATACACTACACTACTACAGTATATGCAGTGGCAGTATCGTATCGGGCATCATTCTCACGGAACATACCTCTTTCATGCACTTTTTTATTTCAAATTGTTTTCACCTCACTTCTCTGATCAACTATATTTAATGCTTGGAATACAAGATTTCTTGGAATTCTGGGCACGTCGTTCCATTTCATCCTTACATCCCGCATCTTGGATATCAACTCCCGTCATTCTTTCCGCATGACCGTATCAAAGCCAGTATACCAAACATTCGAATTCAAGGGTATCATCGAACCATGCAGCATAGTAAGTTACGATCATTGGAGGTTCACCTGTGCATCAAGTTAAGATTCAGAGATTGAAATGTCAATACACAATCGTCAGAGTTGCGTTTTCGTTCGGAGAGTGTTACCCGCGTTCTCTGGGCAATGTTTTGTAGAATGCGAATGAAATCAGAAAAACCTCAACAGAACAGCACGGATTTGAAAAGCGGTCGTAACCTATGCCTTGCATTTACCATCCATCAATCATTCTTCAACCCCTCATCCTCATTTCAAAAAACAAGGAATCATTTGGACAATGGCACGGGCAAAACTTCTCGATTTCCAAAGCTCAAATACTCCTATGACTGGGGCAACCAGCAGCAGGCGCCCTTCGCCGAACCGCAAGCAAATAGGGTGAACAAATGTCTTTTTTTTCGACTGGGGTAAGCAATCTCGGGCTGTAAAAATAACTCATTCTTGTCTTCCTCGCAAGTAGGAACATTTTCTAATACAGATCTCTGTCAACCGTGTTCTTTCGGAAGGATGCGCGGGGGTCGGAAGAATGTGACGCAAGTCGCGCTCGAGACCAGCATAAGATTCAGCTTCTTCCAGAAATAACAGAATTACCCTCGACTCGGCTGAACACCCTGTGGTTGGGGAGATAACACATCAGATCGTCCGGGGGAATCGATTAAGGCAACTTCAGGTCGGTTGAAACCGGAAGAAGCTTCCGATCGCACTTCAATTTCGCTCGGCTCTAAAACGTGGGGAAATAGGGTCCTCATGGATTTTGATAGTAGAGCATCCTAATCCACCCAGAAAATTCACTCTCACCATCATTCTTGCGGGGAATTTTTTGTTAAAAAAATATATTCTTTTAGAAACGGGGGTGGGTTTATCCATCCTCCAAGGCGTGACCACGGACATGTCGTATGCCGTCCAGTAAGATGGCGCGTGCCCGAAACAGCATTGGTGCGACTGCGAGTTTCTCAGCTGGGTATCGTCGTGGTTCTTCATTTGCGCAGCCTTGTGATGATATTTCAGACAAGCGCTGTTTTGGGCCCCGCCAAAATTTCCTGCGTGCATGGCAACCAGCTCACACAGGAAGGATCGAGCGGCATTATATCGGGGTAATATATATCTAGCAGAACCTCGTCAGCCTTCGCATTTGGTTCACGCGCTGGGATCGGGAAGACTGTCTTCAGCTGGCCGTCGTCAACTCATCGCGACACTCGACAGATGATTCTCCGCGCTCAAATTTTCCGAAAGGATCCGGTAAAAACATGAAAAATAAAGTGTGCGACGAATCCCCCGCGCGTGGTCACCGAGTAATAACAACGAATGTCCCAACCGGAACACCTTGTGCTCGCGGACGCTTGGAATGCATCTGCTTCGGAATTGTCTGCGACTCTTCCACGGATCTCGAGATCGTGCAAACAAAAAAAAAACCGTACACACACACAGTTTTGCGCATACTTCGCGAATATCCCGTGAATGCGAGTGCGAGGGGAATATTGCTTGGTCGCAGTCTTCGAAGACTACTGCACTCATCACAGTGGGGAAAGAAATATCGGCGATTCTAACTGCGTGCCCTGAACAGCGCAAATGCCTTCGACTATAGAAATAAACAAAGGAAGGCCAGTGCCATCCATAGACGATACCGTTTCAAGCGCAGAAGTTTCATGATACGTAATTGCGCGGAAAACAGTGCCTGGGTTCAAGACAGATCAACAGCGGCCATCAGCACCTCGGAGGAACGGAGTTGATAAATGCCTGGTGATGAAGAGACCCCATCCTTCGACGCAGCAGTTTCAACCTTTCTGAATCGCGGAACCATTTCTAAAATCAATTTAAAATTTGGCGTCCCAGTTGTAATACTGTATTAGGATTTTCAAGTGTGAGAGGTTCGGAATTACAGTATAGAGGGGTTAGGTAATAAGACGGTTAATAGGCAATATCAGAAAGCAGCTTTAGGCGTACACAGATATTCCGTCTTCGGTGAGTGCCCCAGAAAAATCAATTATTTCCCAACGCATATATTTCAATTCAATTCAATTTTCCTGGATCCGGTGCTGCACAAATAAGTTTGGAGCGAAAATATTTTGAGAACTCCGTATGTATTGAGGATAGATCTTCTTGTTTGATTCGGCACGCCGATTTATTCTCATTACTCGTGCAGCTTCGAATCACTTGGAAAACTTAAATAACAGAATTCAAAATTTTGAGAAGATTATGACTACTGCAGTGCAAGCTTGAAGGTTTCCATATAACATGCGCGTGGATTTTTTTTTCAAAGTAGACCAATGCTTCATATTCCCAGTTGAATCACTTGTGCAGCTGAATCACTTGTGCAGCTCGTATTGAACAAGGTCGAAGGACCATCATCACCAGCAGGGTTGCGATAATGTGGCACTACAGGACTCGTTCGCTTCGTGTCGAATGTCTGCTGATGATCGCGGGAGGTTTCTCGGAGACACCTGCCGCGTCGATGGCTCGAATTCGCGCTCAAACATGCAGAGGGAAACCCAATTCCCGGTGCATCACACGTAATGCGGGAAAAATAAAAAGGGCTGAGACAATGACGCTTTCAGCCCTATGTAAGCCGCGACGGCGGATCGGATGCTCGAGGACGCGCATGCAGTGATCAGGACAGGAACAGTCGGTTATTCTGACCCGCGCGGAATCCACGGGAGCAGCCGAAATGCGAAGGAACCGCGGCGACAATGACGACGACGACGACGACAAATCGACCATGATGGCTTGGGCGGATGGTGCGTGGAACGTCGTCGGAGGTTTCTGCCGCGGAAGGACCACCGTTACGTCGTCGGAGGCCGACGGGTCTGACGTCGTCCATGTGATGCCCCGTTGCTGAAGGCCGTCACCGGTTCGACGAGGACGCTTGTTGCTGCTGTCCCGACCCCGTGTTGCTGCTGCTACTGCCCAGGTTCAGGTTCGAGAAGACCGGGATGAAGAGCGTCTTCGTCGTCTGCAACATTCAAATTAATTTATTCAAAAAGCGGTCACATTCCTGTAGAGATTATACAGCATTACTATGGAATTTTATTTCATTTCTGTGAGTTTTTGTGAGCGTAAGAGTTGTTCACTCAAAAGGACAGTATCCTTGAATGTATAAAGGTGGAATGTGGGAAATTTTCGTTAGCATACTAAATTCATCAGAAGTGGGAATGAAGTCTGTTATCTTACTGTTAAACTTTGGAAAGACAATGGCACTTGAAATTATCTTATTAAAAATACAAGTTGGCTTTTCTCCCAACAACAACAGACAAATTTTCACCGGCTGAAAATCTGAAATAAATCATTGTAATTGTTCATTCTTAGAAACCTTTTTTCAAGCCCACCTTTCTAATTTTTTGAAGAATGAAGACATTTTACTACTATTGCTTTATTGTTTTGTGAGTCTGGTGACTTAATTTTTTCAAAAAAGGAACTTTTTAAAAACCTGCCACAAAAGTCTTTCAGACAAAACGCTTTTTAGTCTGCAAAAATTTTATGAAACTGGTGCTCTTTGCTAGTCCGCAGAAAATTTAATAGAAATTTCCCAGTCTATGAGCCCAAAACGTTTGGTAAACGCTGTGTTGAAACATCTTTGCGATGGATAACATATTTTTTTTTATTCATGGTCTTCCTTGGGAACATTTCAATACCTAACTTCTCATGTTCTTCAAAAATTTGAAGAAAGTCCTTCAGAAAGTAGAAAAAATGTTCTTCTCAACTTGAAAAGAGAATAACTTTGCAGAAGAAAACCACACAGATTCTGCCATTTGCAGCATGAAAAGGGACCCCAAAGGAAAAACAAACACAAATGTGTATACTGCTGTACACAGATGATGGGATAAAACCCCTGAAATGATAAGCAAAAAATGAGCCCATTTACCAAAGTAAATTAGAATACATTTTAATAAGATCCATTTCTGATTTCTGGTCATTGGTTAGAATAATTTCCCATATTTTTACCGTCAAACTGGCCATTTGAGTTGACATTTAGAATGATTAGCTCAATTGTTGACCACAGCAGTGATGCCATCAGGTCAAAATTGCAGCCATCAGATCCACAGTGCAAGTACAATACAGTGAACAGAATACTATACAGTGGGGTCTTGGTTTACAAACTTAATCCATTCCCAAGCAAAGTTTGTTAACAAAATACAGTAGTTTGTTAACCAAGTCACATTTTCCCCTGAGAAAGTAAGGAATAATTCTAATTGGTTCCAGAAATTCAAAAGTGTACATGAAAATCAATAAAATGTTCACCTAAAATGCTTCATGAGCCCAAAATCCAGGAACATAAAAAAATTAGAAGAGAAGCTCAAAGAAGTGTTGATGAAGACAGGAGTCTAAGAAGGATGCCAGAGATGGCAGGTGGAGTCAACGCTTTCAACAACAAAAAAATGCAGTAAATGTACTTGGGCCTCTTTGTCAATCCTTTCAAACAATTCATTTACTCCGCATTTCTGTACACTCCTTCCAGCACTAAGCCCAATTTTCTTCAGTTGGAAGCAGATTGAGAGAACTATCAAGGAAAAAATTTGCAAAAATAAAACAAATGTTGAAATGAAAGGAAAAAATCCCTTGAAATAAAAATAATTTCATTTTAGTAATTCCAACCTCAATCCTATGGAAGAGGAAGAAATATCTACTGGGAAATATACAGTGCAACTTTCTGACCCAAGGGGTGGGCATTTTGGGAGGACCAGCTTTAAGATCAAAGTTTGTAAACCAAGTCACAGTTTGTTATTGAAGGTAGCCAAGGCTAAAATGCAAAGGTTTTTTTTTTAAAATCCAAATACAGTAACTCAAGTACCACATGCACCTTTTTTTCAAATTTCAGAAGAAAAAAAAGGGGTGCGCGTCATAAGCGGGTACAAATTTTTCAAGAAGTTTTAGGAAGTTATGTGAGCATTATACTTAATTATAAGGGAGAAATTTGGAAAAAATGTAACAAAACAACTTTTTTGTATTGAAAAAGTTGAAAATTGATCGGATTTTTGTTTAATTCATGTCTAAAGTCAATTTTTTGTTATTATTTTCATAATTTTGTGATTTTAGATTTACTAAAAATTGGGGTGCGCGTGTTACTTGGGGATACGATTTTAGCCAAATTTCCAACTGAAAAACCCCTGTGCACTCCTTACTTGAGGGCGCGTGGTACTCAAATAAATATGGTAGTTTGTTAACGAAGACTGTACTGTAAAAGTTGTCAAAATTTCCACCTAAATTAGACTGCCCCCCCCCCCCTCAATTGATCTGGAAACTTTCGAAATCAATAGGTGAAAAGAAAAATCAAAGGTGCTTCAATTCGGAGTCTTCGCAATGGCGACGACAGGACTCGTAAAAAATCGTGAGCGCATATAAACGCGCGTCACGCTAGACTTCCTGCGCTTCTCGAATTCAAAATCCCGTCCCGCTTGCCTTTAGAACCGGCAGTTCGGTGCAAGCACAGTACGTTGAAATCGGGGTGCATTTCACAATGAACGTCATGAAAAAATGAAGACTTCAAAGAGCGCAGGTCAGACTGCCATACGAGGCGGGAAGTGCTTTCAGTAAGTTAATTAGCTGCCTCCCGCTGAGAGCAACAACCGGCAGCGTCGCGTGTTGGCTCGACATTTCCGCTGCGAAAGGTCGTGGCATTTCAGCACGGCTTCAAGATATCCTTGAACCGTTCCTAAAAATGCTTCAAAAAGCGAGGGAAGTAGACTTGGATGCTTCTGCATCCAAGTTCGTTAACATGAGAATGCCTGCTTGCGACGAACAAGGATTTAACCTACTTCCAGCCAAGAGAGGTTCGAACCACGACCTTCTGCGATTCTTCAGACTGAAAAACAACGTCCCATGTAACCAGGATTTTTACAATTATCCATGATGATCATTGATCATGATGATCAATGATCATTTTCCATGATGATCCACGGCTTCAAGTGCAGGCGCAATTACCTATCCTGAGATTATCAGAATACAGATTCAGTCTAAATAATGGATTTACTCCAGTGCCATACTACATGGGTGCAAGATGAGCAGGGAATTTGATGGTCTATATTTCTGATGAAATCTTATCCCCTAGACTAGATCGACAGTGAGCCCCATTTTAGTGACAGAAAAACTGCAATACAGTGAGACCCCAAGATTTGGATGTAATTGGTGCATAAAGAGTGTCCCCAAGTCAAAATGTCCCTGAGTTGAGTCTTGTTTTCCCATAGAATTACATTATATAATTTTTATTGGTGTTTTGTGTACAAAATACTCACAAAGATTCCATGAAAATACAAATTGTCTCCCAATTAGAACTTTTTCCAATCGATATATTTCAACACAATATGGGCATTTTGAGAGTTGAGTCTTGTTTTCCCATAGAATTACATTATATAATTTTTAATTGGTGTTTTGTGGAAGAAATATTCTTCAGAATTCCCTGAAAAAAATTGCTTGCCACTTGAATTTGAATTAAAGAAAACATTTTCAATTCAGTAAGAACATTTGGAGCATTGAATAGTGCATCTCTGTACTGCACACTGAAATTTTGGCATCTACAAAACTAACATTCAAGTGAAAACAAAGTAGAAGTCCCTCTATGCAGGAGGTAATTTTTTTTAATTAGCTAAATGGATGGTAATTTGGTGAGAGATATGCCCAAGAACTTTTCTTACATCAATTTTAGGGTTGGAAATATTGGTTTCTTGTAATGTGGCCTGAAATGTATTTGCAATTTTATCACAAAATGTCCCTATGTTGAGTCAGTGTCCTGATGTTGGGGCATATTTATTGATTTTTTCTGGGAAAATTAGTGTCCCTATGTCAAATTGTCTGCAGGTCAAGGCATCCGCATGTGGGGGTCTCACTGTATTTCAAAAATAAGGCTCCAAAATTTAAATTTTGACTTGAATTAACCTGAATTCTATCAATTTTCACTCTTTCCAATAAAGAAAAACCATTTTTCATCAAAATGTACCCAACATTTCCCATTGAAATTGGTTATGATGTGCACTTAATCTCCAAAAAAAATGAAAAATTGTATCCCCATCCGTGATGCACTTCCTCCTATTTTTCCTTAAAATTTTGAGAAAACCATGAAAATGGTACTCAAGTAAATGCAGTAATGTACACCAGTTTTCCATTTGCATATTTCTAGAGTATCCCTTCCTGTGTGAAGAACAATACCTTTCAGGACAGGATACAAGTGGTACATTGCAATTTGACCTACCACAATTTGACAGTTGAATTTGCATGGAGGTTGACTCGCAATTCGACCTCTTTCCCAAAAGTTGACCTGTTTCAGCCTCTTTTCTAGTGTTTCTATGCTGTTTGCCCTGTATTTTATGCAGTGTCTTGCAATTAAACCATTTTGCAATTTGACCCTATAGTTTGGCACAATTAGGGTAAAATTACAAGGTACCACCTGTATCCTTTACAGTAATTAGCTCAGAAATGCTCATTCTGTTGTTGCTCATTGTTCAAAACGCACGTTGCCCTGTATCTTTATATTTGATAAATGAATCAATACAGTACTTATCTTTTGTAAGAGGAGTTCATTTACTTAAATATCTTGGTATAAAGAGAGAAATGAGTTTTGAAGCTAAGTTCACATACAGTGCTCAGAATACACCCTTAGAACCAGAGAAGACTGAATAAATTTATTCATGGACAGTTTAACATGAGGTCAGAGTGAGATAACAATAATTACAGAACAGTACTTGAATACCATAAACCCTTACATGAGATGTACACCTTCATTTTTGAGCTGCAAATTTCTGTACAAAAATGTCCCCATATTGGCAGCATTGACTCATCCTACCTGAGGTGACATGCATCTGCAGCAAGTTAATTTAGGAATTAATGCACAGGAATTAATTCGAGCAACAAGATGGGCCCAATCATCAAATCTATGGTTTGTGGCAAATTTCAGCTGAGCAGGGAGTCCTGCACACAAGATCAAAATTACGGTAGAAATCCATTTTGATTTGCCCATACGCG